CTACCGAAATCATCAACAAAAACCATAGCGGTACTGGCCGATGAGTCGTACACAAGGGCTGGTTGCTGTTGCTGATTAAATTATTATAATGAGAAGGGCGTCACGTAAAGTCAAGAGTGGTGAGGGTGCACGTCGATTAAAAGGCACGTATCATCATTGACGTGGGGCTCCCTCCTATCCGCGTTCCAGTGGCCGGGGATAGAACTCATAAGCTGCTTGTGACTACGGCTGATAAAACATGATGGTGTCATCCATTAAATCGGATTGTAATAGTTCACCTAAATACCTTATTCAGGAGAAACATTCCTGGGTTTAGGAGCTTAGAATGTTTCTGGGGCAATGTTTGCTATTATGAGCTTAGAAGCCAGTCTTCGGGCTGTGGGATTGAGCACTGGGATTATGTAGTTCCGGTGACGAGTCACGTCATATGCCGTGCAAACGCCCAAATGATCTCAGCCACGGCTCAGCAACGGCAACCGAATACGCCTAATCGTCGAAGAGGGGTGGGGGAAGGGGATGGAGGGATGGGGAGAAGGGATCGAATTGATTTGGTGGCAAGTTTCTCACACGTTTTCTGCGTCCACATTCACTTTTTCGAACTGCACCCCTTAGCCGATTTCCTTATGGAAGCACAAGACGACCTGTAAGTGTAAAAGAAGATGGGGAGTATGCAAGTAGAACAGATAGCGACTGTATTCCTCCCATACAAGTTTGATATTACTTGTGCAAATGAGATGCGAGACGTTGAGCTGCAGTGCACCGTTATTTTACCGCTGAAGAGCTTCTGAAGGCACAGTTCACGATGATATTGAGGTGACTCTTTTTACTCGAAAAGCGGAAGTAGAGATTAAGAATAGTTCGTCGGTAGTGAAGAAAGCGTGAGAAATCGCTGATTTTTAGAAGAATATGGCTCCTTCAAAGTAGGGAAAATAGAGGTTGGACGAGATTACCATGACGGAAATAACATGGAAGGGACATTTGGACGAGATTTCAGTTATTGCAATTGCACAAAAAGCTGACTAAACGAACCAAAACTGTACAGTACTGTCCTTCACTGTCGCTATGGGTTATGACAAGTTACTTGAACTTCCTGCAGTTCCCTTGTGATCTATGCAGCCTCTGCAATGCCGATGAAACTCGTCCGAGGATACACACGGTGCAATCTTTGAGCCTTTATAACCACCTAACTAAGCCTTTTCCGACTTAATAGCGCCAGATATGGTGTACGAGGGCCCCTCGAATTCACCCTATGGGGAAATCTCAGAATCCATTTTTATCGTGAACTTTGCCTTCAAAAATCGGCAACGTGATCTTCATCTGCGAGAACTACTTTGAATCGAACTCCTTCGCTATGTATTACCATTTCAGAGTAGCCGTAAGTGGTATCCAGTGACATTTGTAAATTCGATACTGTGGATTGCGTTCTTCTCCTATCTGATGGTCTGGTGGGCCAACACGATCGGTGAGACACTCGTCATCCCCACTGAGGTGAGCCAAATTATCCTCATTGAAACAATAGGAATAAAGTATAACAATATTCTTCAAAGAGTCTCAGGTAGTTTTTTCGAAGACAAAGCTCTGTGAGATTTATCACCCAGCACATCGGCTATCGTTTCTGTTTTTGTGACCAGCAGCCTTTGAAGGAAAATTCCGAGACAAACTGAATGATATATCCTTTTCCTTCGCCTCTAACTGGTGGAGACGCATGATCCTGTGGGCCAAAACTGTGCACAAAGCGTTCTGAGGGCCTATAGGTATGACGATACAGGCCTAACGTGACGTTTACTATATGAGGATCCCTTCTCGTGCAGAAATTCTGCTGTGTAGGACGTCGTTGAAGCTTAACTCTGAGAGAGAGATGAGAATTTGAAAGCAATCTGATCTTCCTTCGCCTTCACTCACAACTTCCATATAACTATTTAAGAGCGCCGTGGCACTAACGAGTAAGAGCTATCCAGCCAACTTTTAAATCTGCCTAAATCAACTACAGAATTGATTGGCTACTGATTATTCACTGGAGATCACTTGAAGCCTTCGCTTCCGTACACGAACCCCACATTGCCTCACATACTGATGATGCCGACCTTCATCTGCTCCCGAGAAGAGTTTAAAGGCACAGTTCACGATAATTTTGAGGTACCTGTTTTTATTCGAAAAAAGGAAGTATAGGTTGGGACTAGTTCATCGGTAGTGAAGAAAGCGAGAGAAT